CTACACCTGGCAAAGCAGCCAGCCAATGCAGACGCCAAGCAGTATCTTTTTTATTAACTATAATGTACATGTATTATATATATATATATACATATATATATACATACATACATATACATATATATACATATATACATATATATATATATGTATATATATACATATATATACATACATATACATGCATATACATATATCTTCTATATATATATATACATATATATGATTATACAAGTACATAAGTATATAATCATAGTATAAGTACATAACTGTATATTTATATACATATAACATATTTATATATAACCTGAGTATCTTTACCGGGAATGTCAGATAGCCAACGGCCTCCTGACACACTCAGCGCAAAGTCGCAAGCTCTGAAGAAGTTGCAAGCAACATGCCTAGATTTATAAGTTCGATTTGTGGGTAATGACTGGGTTGCAACAAATAATTATTCTGATGGGAATCTGTCTTTTGATCTGTACCGGAATCTGAGCAGGGAGGTTTGATCAGACAGATCTGACCCGGAATCTGACTTCTAGCCTGACTTTTGATCTGACTTTCAATCTCCCTCCTTCCCTCCTTCCCTCCCTCCTTCCTCCTACCCTCCACGGTCCGTGCTGGAGCCGAGTGGGGCCAAGTCGGGCCGGAGACGAAAGCTCTCAGATTCAGGGTCAGATTTTTGGGGGGGCCGGGCCGGGAGTCAGATTAAAAGTCAGATTCCGGAACAGAGTCCGGCCGGAGTCAGATTCGGAGTCAGATTCGGGGTCAGATTTCCAGAAAAATCATGGTTTTCCCAAGGAATCTGACTTCGAATCTGACTCTGGATCTGACTCCGGCGAAAAACTGTCCCGGAATCTGACTTTTAATCTGAGTCCTGGCCGGGCCCCCGCAAAAATCTGACTCTGAATCTGAGACCCCCTAGCCCAGCCCACCAGCCCGCCCGGCCCCAACCCAGCGCTGCCCCCTCAGCCAACCCCCGGCACTCTGGTCGGATTATTTTACAAATTGCCTCTCAGATTTCGGTGCAATAGCAGACCACCCTGGTCAGATTAATTTACAGATCCAATTACAGATTGCAACCGCCGAATAACCAAAGACACTTGGAAAGAACAGATTGGATCTCAAATTCTGCACAGATTTAATTTCTGAATCATACCCCAAGCAATACCACAAATCGACCTTACAAGCCTAGATGAGAAGGCAATACCAGTCGGCGAAGACAAATACCAGTGGTGCTCATGCAGTGCAAGGCTTCAAACCACACTGGGAAGAGGCCAAATACTGATCGGACAACTCCGCAGCGGTCACGCTCAGTCATGAATGCCGACGCTGGCTCTGCTCTGTGCTGTTCAGCTTCCGATTGCGACTTTGCGCTTAGCCGTAGCCACATTTCGCTGTTTTGACAAGCTACTGCGAATGGCAACGTCGACTGCCAACTCCAGGTTGTGTTGCGCTTCCTGTTCCTGCAAGGCCAAGCTCATTGAACTCGGTTTGACGGCCGAACATCCCCGCTAAGCCTGCGCAGGGTCAAGGCCATCCACGCTGATGACTCCTGCTCGAGCAGGTCGTAACTCACCTCTAGGACACATCGAAAACAAGAACTTGCGACCCTCACCACAGCGCGGCTCAGGCTGTGGGGCGGCCTCCCGTGGACTGGGCTCGGCATGGAATTCCTGCAGACGGCTTCAGAAGACATTATTTCGTCGGGTCCATTTGCCTTTTCTCCGTGTGGAACTTGCAGGAACCGGGAACCGATGCAAAAATCTGCAATCTGACAACACATAACTGTTCGTTGTGCATGCAGATCTGCTGAAATGTGTCCAAGGCGACGTATCATTTTGTTCATGTTTCCGTTGCATCAGCATCATGTCATGTCCTTTGAGCTTACCACTCAGACTATGCCATTCCAGCTGCTTGCTGTCCTGTCCGATGCTTTCAGGATTCCCTTTGTTCAAACTAACAATACAGCAGGAGCGGAGAGCGCTCGAAGAGAGATGGCTTCACTCGGCTCTATGTGTTTCCTTCCAGCAGGCAGCTTTGAGACTCAAGGGGCCCCTCAGGTGCACACAAATACCGTACACAGGACTGAAGCCTAGCTGGCACTGCACGACTCACAGCACCAGAAAACTCTCTTCGGTTTCAGTCACCTCGGCTTAACTCTACCGGCAGCACGGAGCTCACAGAGTTGATCTTCTTCAGCAACAATCTTGTAATAGCCGGTGTCCAGAATGCTTAGGAGAGCCTGAGAGATAGCGCCGATCTTGGTCAACACATCGACGATCATAGACTGATTCTCGCGCGATGGCAGCCTCCATGCGGTGTGCTTGTCAGCGGCCTGTGCTCCGTCCTTCGACACGTTGTCGTAGACACTCTTGGCGTCCACTACAGACAGGCTTTCACGGAGCAGCTTATCGCCATCTGATTTCTGTAGTACGAGTCCGCTTGCTTCTGCACCTCGGCCATGAACGACTGCAGCTCGAAGCTCTCGTCAACAAGATCCTGCCAGATGGCTTTGGTCCACATCAGCTCTGCCAAGCCACGGGTCAATTCCTGGGTGCCCGCCGCCAAAGTCGAAGGCACTTAGCGCTTCAACTAGCCACTCTTCCACCACAGCAGGGAGCAGCGCGCTCGCTCTCCTTTCACAAGCGCAACGTCGTGGGCCAGAACGCCCACAGCGCCTTGAGAAGAGCCGTCCTCGCAGTTGTCAAAAGAGGTGTCCGTGGTGGTGCCAAAGTGGAGGCGGTCGATGCCGATGGGGAACTAGCTCATTGTGAGGTCGCGACGGCCCCGACGCCGATTTTCAACTCGTGAGCCCTCGGTCCTCTTCCTTTCCTGCACCGGCCGCCAGCCAACCCTCCGGCACACTGGAGTTTAGTCCTCGGACCCCGACCACTTGCTCGGCACGGCCCGACGGTCCACAATGTTGGGCAAGCGGTCCCTGATTTGGTTCGTGAAGGGCAGGCACGAGATTCACACGTACATTAGCTGACATGTATTTCTCCTCGCTCGCAGATGCAATTTTGGACTCCAGCAACTGTCCAACCAAAACAGCAAAAGATATGGTTTCCCGAAGCAGACGGCGTGTCTATGATACCTTATAGGAGACTTACGGAGCCAAGTTGGCTCGGAGCTGGCAGAAATTATTGGAACATCAGCACGTCCAGAGTTTGGAGCAAGATCTTTCAGCCGCTCCACACCATTGAAACTTCAAAAGCCGTGATATCGAATTCAAATCAAATTCTGATCGGTTCAAACTGGTGACGAAAACGGAATTCCCGAAATGAAGCTGGCGGACATGAGAACAGCATCCCATGCTCCAGTATCCAAGCGAGAAACGCCGAACATGGATTCGTGCAACTGAATCCCAAGCATAACAGCATAACATGCTTGTATATCTCTCCCGAGAAAGTCTTCTACGAATATGCGTGGATGACTGACACAGCCAGCGCCCTCGAGTTGTGCAGGAGTGGATGCACATAACGATGAGACCCACCACATCCCCGTGAATCTAAAAGCAAGAAAGAACTGCGAATAAAAAGATAGACAGTTAAAAACATGTAGAAATAAAGATGAAACATTCGCTAAAATATCAGCGGGGCAGAGACCACCGAAGTGACCTTCGCCAAAGTGTGATTGAGGCGCACCCTTGGGGTACATGAGTTACTTTGGGCAGAGGTTTATTGGCCGATGTGTTGACCGATCCGATTCTGGAACTCTAGCGAGGCGTGTCCAGCCTCGCGGCAGTGAAAGCAAGGCGAAGAGTCGTCGCGTTGACCGGCGATCTTTGGGCCAGTTCTCTACAAGGCATCTTTGTTGTTGCAAGAGCCCGAGAATTTGGAAAGAACCGCTGTTCCAAAACAGTTAACACATAGGCCTGCTTCTTGGTGACCTCGATCTTGTCTCCATCCCAAACCGTGGCACCTCTCGCGAGGGAACTGCATCGGCGTATCACGACACTACGAATGATGCGGTTGATACCTTCGCCTCTCCTGCAAAGGACACGAACAGCGGGAGGCCCGCGACTGGCAAATGACGCGAGTGCGGCTGCAAACGCTGACCAAGCTGGCGCACACAAGGTGGTACAGCGGCAGGCTCGGAATCCGCAGAGGCGATGGCACCTACGGACATCAGTAACTTAGTATGCTTCTGGCCGATGTTCGCGATGCTTTGCCGTTACGGCTCAGGGCTCAGGGCCTGCTTCCATGGCAGGGACGGATCAGGCAAGAAGCGGACCTGCAAGCTGCCTTGCCTCAACGAAAGCAGGATTCTCTGACACCCAGGAGCCCCGTGAAAGCACCGCGCCACAAGCTGTATTCAGCCGCTAGATGGTGTCGCGCGCGCGGAGGTGACGCGCTGACCTCGGCTTCCCAGCGCATGGAAAGGAGAATCGAAAGGAGCCAGCCTCGGCCAGCCGCTCGGCTCCAGGAAGCAGGAGAGAGGAGTGCAGTCAGCAAGAACAGGAAAGCCTAGGCTTTAAGCGCTGCCAATGCAGATTGTTTCCTGTACGTGCTACAAGGTTCCAATTCTCCAACAATCTTAGAGCATTGCGGAGGCACTCAGAAACCCAGTCACGACAGCAATGGCCTCGCAGTAACACTGCTTGCGAAAATGCTGGCTGCGCCTCTAGCCATCTATTGCACCTGCAGCTGCATCTCGCAGCGATGTCCATTGCTTGCCGCATACTCTCTTGCCAAATGCAGTACGTAAAGCTCGAGAGTCTCGTGCCATCTTGCTGTTCCATTGAGCATTGCAGGTGCTTGGGCATCGGTGTCTTCCGGCTCAAACTTGGAAACGGCTAGCGCAGTGACTGTGCTGGAAACATGCATCACGAATGACGTGCTGCCGACCGCCAATGAGCAAGATCTGCCTTCCAGTGCTCATTCTGGCAGTCTCGGCTGCAATACATCTCGACCTCAATCCACTGAGGAGATACCACTACAACGCCCCCGCATTGGTCAGCATGATGTGAGCTGTAGGCATTGTAGGCGTGACCGAGTCGGGAAACTGTGCAAGCGCCCAACCAAAACGGATGCTTGCAACTTTTTGAACCAGCGAAAGCCGCGAAGACATCGGTGCAGCAAAACCGGCAGCTGGTGCTGTCGATGACTACCGCTTGGCCTGCAACTGCTAACCACAGCGTCTACTCACCCCTTCCCCGGATAAACAGCACTGCCTCCAAGTCCATCTTATCGCTGGTGTCTCGCAGAAGCGGCTGAGCCTCCTTCGCGAAACGCCCCCCGCGGGCAGATGCTGGCAGTGCCGCTACTTTCGCCCCTTCACCTCGCTACTTGGGCTTTGGGTCCGGTTGGCTTCACAGCTCCTTGGTCGCTTTGGACATGCCCAAGAAGCCTGGGAGGCGACACTTGCAAATGTTTCCGGAGAGACAACATGGTTCGGCGGGAGACTTTTGTAGAAGAGCGTGGCAAAGACCAGGACCATCCCGGCCAGCTGCCACAAAGTCATTGTGTGCGCATAGGTTATGTAGGACCTTCGATCAGTTAAGACAGAGTTCGAGAGTCAGCACTAAGACTGAACAAATGCGGCAACGATATACATCGATACGTACATACATAGTTACATAATCATACATATACATATAAATATATATATTCGTATTTGTTTATGTATTTATATATTTATGTTTGTATATGTTTATGAAGATATGGAGGATATACATACGTATACAAACATGCGTGAAGGTTTGGTATCGATGATACGCTATAT